AGAAAGTTTCCGTACTACATACGGTAAATAACAGTGATACAATTTTACTGTAAAATACCATTAAATTTACAGTTTTTGAAAGTGAAAAAGAACAACTCATTGTATAATTTACAGTGAAAAACCATAAATTGACATTCTCACAAATGTATTTTTGTTGAAATAACTATGGTTCCTCGTAGTTTTCTTGTTTTTTTTTTCTAATTAGTTATGTACATTAGGGTTAATTAGATGTTTATTGAATTTTTTTTAATTTCATGGTGTTTAATGTTTGTGTAAATTACACTGTGCAGCTTCTTTATATAAGTATTAAAGGGATACTCCGCTTTTTTTTTTGGAAATAGGCACAATTTACCACTCCCCCAGAGTTAAACAGTTGAGTTTTACCGTTTTCAAATCCATTCAGCCGATTTTATGATATTTAAATAAATCAGTAACCAGACAATTTCTGGTCTCATTGACTTCCATAGTAGGAAAAAAATATACGATGGAAGTCAATGAGACCAGAAACTGTCTGGTTACTGATATTCTTCTAAATATATTTAAAAAAATGGCTGAATACATTCGAAAATGGTAAAACCCAACTGTTTAACTCTGGGGGAGTGGTAAAATGAGCCTTTTTCCAAAAAAAGTGGACAGTCTAAAGGAAGACTACTTGTGATGAGCTTTGATTCCTCATGTAACTCTCATCTCTACTATGATGATTGTTAGTTGTCAGTGTATTACAATGGTACAAAACAGAGGTAATTTTTTCAAAAGGTTGATAAATCAACAGATTTCAGAAAATGAAATACGGTTTATTACTGTAAATTTTAAGTTAAGTCTGTAAAACCATTTACGCTCCTACCGTATTTTTAGCGGTAAAGTTCTGACTTAAAATCCAAGTTATTACTGCCGTTTTTTTTTTTTTTTTTACAGTGTAGGCTATGTGCACTATGCCGGATATGTATATTGTATTTTTACAGTACTTAATACACAAAAGAATTATTTAAAAGTCGTAAAAGTGATTATCATCAACCCATCATCAGCATGTAAATGCTCTCCTTTTTATTATTTTATCTTATAACCTTGTAAGGTCAATCTTTAAAGTCGAGTCTGTTACCATGATTTCTGCATAGCTACCGAACAATTGTTTTTGGGAAGATGGCCTGTAGAAATATCAGCACTAAAATCCCTTTATAAGAAGCACTGTGTAATTTTACAACTTCAAGCTTAGTGAATTAAGTTAAGTAATAAAGCCTTAACACATTATCTGAGGGAGTTTTATTCATAATGCCTGTTTCTAATAGACTATAACTCGTATTACTTTTTCATTTGTTCCTATAACATGCATGACATTCATATTTATTGCACACACTTGCTATTTGTCATAATTTGACATTTAATTAGGAATTTCTTTGTCCAAAATTTCAACATGTCTTCCGCCGAGTGACGTGAGTGCTGACAAAATTAAAAATTCTATTTTTAAAAAACGACGAATATAATAATAAACTTCTTACAAAACGCACTGATTTTGAGAAGTGAGACTTCTGATTATTTTTATAGACTCCTCACATCCTCTTATACAGTGGGCGAATAAAAATGACTAAACACCTTGTTTGCTTTCCTTAAAAAAATAAATAAATAACTGAATGCATTAAGCATTCAAAAATATGTATATTTAATAAAATATTTATGAATTTAATTATGCTATTTAAACATTATATCGAAATATTTTTTATTTATTTAAATAAATTATTTCCAATTTATTACGGTTTTTTTTTTTTTTTACATTTTTGAATCATTTGACAGTCCCAATATAGTATAATAGTACCTTTTTTAATACGTTTGATAGGTTTAACAAAGAAATCATATCTAAATCTTTCCAAATCCCCCTTTCGAGGGTTTCAGCAGACAGAGTTACAACATTCACAGCTGAAAGTGGCATTAGCTTCGTGCCCACCGGGATCTGACTCTGCAATCCTAATGTTTCAACATGGAGCACAGTAGATGCATGCAGCTATCAAGAGACTTATGCACTGGCCTCATTTCTGTAATCAAAAACCTTTGCTAAACTCGAGATGGGAATGAAGGATAAGACTAAAGACATGAAAGCCTTGGAAGTTTGAGTCACAGCCTTGAGCAGATGGGTTTTATTTAGTGCTCTTGCAAACATTTGGAATCACTGTTAACATATTTCCCCAAACTGTGTATAGACAATTTAGTTTGAGGCAAATCTGTGAGCCTGCCTATATTTGCATTGCGCTTCATGCAACAAAAATGTGTCTAATTAAATGGCAATTGTTGTTAAATGTTACCAAGTGCATACTCTCAATGCTTAATTAAATATGCATTAAATATAAACACATTTGTGGAAGCTGGCATTGGAAATGTGATAGTTTTAAGAAGAAACTTTGTCATCCCCAAAGCACAGCAAACTACCAAATTTTAGTCTTGATTACTATGTGACTAAGCCGTAAACCATAAGTGATTACTAGGCGTTGTCTGCTTTGGAATTTCTGGGTCGGGTTTTTTAAGGATCACCTAAACGTTCTTCATTCAAGACAAAATACTATCTTTACTAGAACTATGAGAATCTGTTCTTGAAATGGCTTCCCAAAAACTAAACACCTTAATATTTTAGCAAGCCACATTTTTAAATGAACAGTGTAAGTTGAATTTCTTTGTGTTGATTTTAAGTATTTAAAGGAGTAGTTCACTTTAAAAGAAACTTTTGCTGATAATTTACTCACCCCCATGTCATCCAAGATGTCCATGTCTTTCTTACTTAAGTCGAAAAGAAATTAAGGTTTCTGATGAAAACATTCCAGGATTTTCTCCATATAATTGACTTCAATGGGAACCAAACGGTTCAAGGTCCAAATGAGAGTTTCAGTGCAGCTTCGAAGGGCTTTAAACGACACCAGACGATGAAGGGTCTTATCTAGGACCCTTCGAGTCATGACTCGAAAAAAGATTTGTTAATTTTGATGATTGTTCGAGACTCTCCTGTTCGAACTTGTTCATCACAGAACAGAGCAAGGCGAGCTTATAAAACTTAAACTTTTTTATTTATTTTTGAAATGAGCGATCGTTTCGCTAGATAAGACCCTTATTCATCGTCTGGTGTCGTTTAAAGCCCTTCAAACAGTTTGCAGTTTGCACTGAAACTCTCATTTGGACCTTAAACCGTTTGGTTCCCATTGAAGTCCATTATATGGAGAAAATTCTGGAATGTTTTCATCAAAAACCTTAATTTCTTTTCAACTGAAGAAAGAAAGACATGGACATCTTAGATGACATGGGGGTGAGTAAATTATCAGCAAAAGTTTGTTTTTTGTTTTTTTTAAAGTGAACTACTCCTTTAAACGAGTGTTATTGACTTGATTTCTGCTGAATAATTACGATTTCGAAACCGATGCCAAACAGGAATTTTGTAATCGATGATTACGTGAAGAACCTTTCTCATTAAAGGAACCTTTCCAATTCTCAAAATGTTCTTTGTCAGCATTGATATTTCAGAACCTTTATCATCACAGAACCACAAAAGGTTCTTTATAGTGGAGAAAGGTTATTCACCTCTTTTAAGAACTGTTCACTGAAAGGTTCTTTGAGGGAACCCAAAATGGTTTTTCTAAGGCATCACTTTGAAAACATCCTTTTGGAACCTTTTTTAAGAACCATTTTGGGTTCCCCAAGGAACCTTTCAGAAGAGGTGAAGAACCTTTCTGCACTTTGTAGAACCTTTTGTGGTTCCGTGACCATTGATGCAGATAAAGAACCTTATATTCACATCACTGCGAAAATTTGGAACCATTGATGCCACAAGAGAACCTATATTTTTGAGTGAAATAACTTTTCACATATCGTGTTGCATTTTTTCAGCTATATATCATTATAAATGACTTAAATTTGTAAGTTTAATCAACTTGGATGTTTAAGTCATTTCAACTTAAATTACATTAAACTGACTTTTAAATTGTTGATTCTTGTATAACGTAAGGTTGAAAATTGCTTATTTTGATGAGTTAAAGCAATGTAATAACATATGTTATTAACTTCTTGATCATATAATTTTTAAGGATCACTTCAGTTTTGACTTTGACTATCTGTCTGGCCAATGAGACGCAAGGTGGCCAACAACACCCATTGACCGTCTCCCTGAATGGAAATCACACTGATATTGGTGGCCTGCCAAGAGCAAGCTGTGATTGGCACATATTTTGTTGTTGGTTTTCAAGTTGGCAAATAATCCCACAGGTGTTTTAGTACAGTGGGACGCATTCTGTGTGAACAGTGCTGTTTAGAACATTTTAATTGGTTGCAAAGCGCTGATCAATCAATGATTTAGACCGTGTGGGCGATTTTATCAGCTGGTTGTGATGACCTTGGGTGGACTTGGATGATCAGAAAGGAATTATTAATGAATTTAAATCCGGTCTTCAATGAAGAAATAGCATAAATCTAACTAACCAACATTTAAAAAAAAATCCTAACAAATAAATAAATATATAAAAATGTATTTCACATTATAATAGCGTGTTATAATGACATTTTTAAAAAATGTTTTTATTTAGAATTAATTAAAAATAAAAGCCATGTTTTTTCAATATTTTTTTCACGTCTTTAAATGTTTTTTTTTTTAAAGAATCTTAACTGAGACATGACTTTTATTTAAAAAAAATACTTTATTAGCCTACATTTAAATGTAAATAATTAAAAAGTCATTTAAAAAGAATTGATAATTGAATTGATTTAAAACATGTTAATCATAGCTTGCAATTTTTGTAACTTTCATCGTAACTTTGACCCCCCAAAAAAAGAAAAAGCTGAAAGACAGACATTGAGAAATCGATTTGTTTGAAGACTCTACAGATTTGTAGTTGTTAGTGATTAGTCAGTATGGGGGTTCCTGGCCTTTTATTGGTCACATCAGACCTTACCCCGCCTCTTTCGACCAATAGCATTTCTCTGATTTGCATACGGTCCCGCACTGCAGGATAAAGACACGCTTGTAGCGGTACTGATTTAAACTCTTGAGAGTAACTCTGGACTTAAGACATCTAAAGCAGCTGCTACTCCAACTGGAATTTTAATCTGCTGTAACACTATAAATAACAGGATCTCAGCAGCTTTTAATTAAATTAATTAAGTTGTTGCCTCCGTGATCATTACATTGATATGGGGAGAGTAACCAGCGCTTGTTTTATATCTTGGATATATTTCGTCTTTTCCTCGGGTTTTGAAACCACGACTGAGCCAACGATTGAATTTCCCGCTTTTGGTAAGTAAAGCTTACTTATTTTATAAATCATATAATTAACTTGTGTTTATAAAGTTTAAAAAGTGAACTTTTAAAAACCTTTCACGCACAGTTGTATAATAAATATCCATTGGACCAATGACCGCATGAGTCCCGAGGCATGTGGTTATTCTTTCTGCATGAGTTTCTTAAAATTATTATTATTTATATATTTTTTTTATTGTATTGTATTTTTTATTTAAAATTGGTAAACATTATTTAGCCTATATAAATTTAAACCGATATATTTTATATTATTATTATATTAGATAACATTGTGTAAAATATTAAGATTCGACAAATCACGTTTTGAACTTATATAGAATGTCTTGCGGTGCAAATAATATTAAGATTCTATTAAACACATTTCTTTGTTTGTATTTATATTTTTAAATAGCATTTATTATTAATATGTCGCTTGTAAAATATAAATGTCTTTTTAAATGGTCGATTTGTTTAATTTTATCAATGTTTACCTGCAAAAATGATCTTTTCTTTTACCTGCAAAGATTTGTGTATATAACACAATGTATATAAAACGTAATATCTTAAAAACATGTGGAATTTGTTGACTTTTAACAATATCATAGTGGTAATTATCTGTTAAGGACAGCTCAAACGTTTGATATTTTGTTTAAATGTATTTGACATGCTAGATTAAGACATTCTGAAGGAGATTATAGCAAAACATTTTTTTATGTGTAGTTAATCAAGCACTGGGAAAGTATCCAAGCTTGCCATTTGGAAATAATTCCTCACATTGAAAATAAGTATAAGCACATGAAAGATAAGCTTCTTTTAAATGTTAATTTAAATAATTATAAGCAGCTTACAAGTAAAAGCATGTAATATAAGCAACACTTAGTGTATTGTATATTGCTGGCTGGAAAACTTATTGTTGATCTGGTTTTGGACAGGTAACTTAATAGAAAATGCCACAGAATGGATGATGGACTTCACCGACATCGAGTCCAAGTTTTCCTTTAGGACTAGCGAAGAACCCGAGGAAGATCTGTGCTACATAGTTCCAGGTCAACCCCAAACAATCAAAGAGTGTAACTTCAATCCAGACTACAAGACTTTCATAATTATACATGGATGGACGGTAGGTGCTTCTACTACACTTGTTGAAGTCGTTATTAAATGAATGTGTGAAGCAGTCCAAAGCATGACGTGAATGATTTCGTCTCAGGTCACCGGTATGTTTGAGAGCTGGGTCCCCAAACTAGTAACAGCCCTGTTTGAACGAGAGCCAACAGCCAATGTGATTGTGGTGGACTGGTTGTCCCGAGCGCAACAACATTACCCAACATCTGCCGCCTACACCAAACTAGTGGGCAAGGATGTGGCCAAGTTTGTCAATTGGTTACAGGTATGTCAAACACTTTTTATGCTATGTCAAGGTGATAAGTACAAGCATTTGATGAAGATATAGAGTTTGTTTTCTGCAGCAAACTTAATCTAGCATGTCTCGTTTCTTCATGCAGGCTGAGATTGACTATCCTTGGGAGAAACTACATCTCTTGGGCTACAGTCTTGGTGCTCATGTAGCAGGAATCGCTGGCCTTCTCACCAGACATAAGGTTAACAGAATCACAGGTAACTTGATTTTGTTTCCTAAAGGGATACTCCACTTTTTTTGGAAATAGGCTCATTTTACCACTCCCCCAGAGTTAAACAGTTGAGTTTTACCGTTTTCGAATCTATTGAGACGATTTTCAGATATTTAGAAGAATATCAGTAACCAGATAGTTTCTGGTCTCATTGACTTCCATAGTATATTTTTTCCTACTATGGAAGTCAATGAGTCCAGGAACTGTCTGGTTACTGATATTCTTCTAAATATCAGAAAATCGGCAGAATGGATTCGAAAACGATAAAACTCAACTGTTTAACTCTGGGGGAGTTGTAAAATGAGCCTATTTCCAAAAAAGTGGAATACCCCTTTAAGGCCCCAATATACTCACGGTGAAGTTCTTTTTTGTTCTTTGCTTGGGGGTAAGATGTAGTTCAAATACACAAGCAGCGCTTTACTGTTAGCGAACATCTTGACAACTCCCGGATCATAGCGACGTAGATATGTTGGCACCAGCTCTGCAATTCGGCTCTCCGATCAAGTAACGTCACATTTATTTAAAGGGATAGTTCACTCTGAAATTAATTTTTGATATGTTTTAGCTTACCTCAAGGGCATCCAAGATGAAGGTGTCTTTGTTTCCACAGTATTTTCAATTTTGATATTTTAGGTCAAACTGTTTGTGTCTGTCAGTCATATAATGGAGGTCTATGGTCACCACCTCTAAGAGCATGCACAGAGAAGTCAAAATTAAACATGATTTAATGACTCGTAAATGTAAGTACACATTGATGGCCTCAGACACGAAACGAGCGTTTTGTGTGAGAAAACGAACAGTATTTATATCATTTTTACCTTTTGTAACCACAGCCACGTCCAAGTGATCTGAGGGCGCGGGCGCTTTGTGGCTGTGGTTACAAGAGCTAAAAACGATATAAATACTGTTCATTTTCTCACACAAAACGCGTGTTTCGTGTCTTAGGCCATCAACGTGTACTTACATTTACGAGTCATTGAATCATGTTTAATTTTGACTTCTCTGTGCATGCTCTTAGAGGTGGTGACCATAGACCTCCATTATATGACTGACAGACACAAACAGTTTGACCTAAAATATCAAAATTGAAAATACTGTGGAAACAAAGACACCTACATCTTTGATGCCCTTGAGGTAAGCTAAAACATATCAAAACTGTATTTCAAAGTGAACTATCCCTTTAAATAGCACTTATTAAACCGATTGCAGTTTAGTTTACAGTATTAAACACAAAATATTTGTGTCAGTGTCATTTCAAATAGAGTTACGCCACGGACCAGTGGTAGGTGTTTACCAGCCGGAGTAAACACTTACTGGAAAGTTTGCTTTGGCAATATGTTTCGATCGCTAATTTTGTTCGAAAATGAGTATATAAGTATATTGGGGACTTTAGGGTGTCAACTTTCCCTTAAAAATGCTTTACAATCAAAATTGGTCAATTTTCTTGGATTTTTAGGCATGGATCCTGCTGGGCCAACTTTTGAGTACGCAGATGCCCAGAGCACTCTTTCCCCAGATGATGCCCTTTTCGTGGACGTTCTTCACACCAACACTCGCGGTTCTCCGGATCGCAGTATTGGGATTCAGAGGCCAGTGGGCCACATAGACATCTACCCCAATGGTGGAACCTTCCAACCTGGCTGTGACCTCCAGAACACTATGTTGATGGTGGCCACTTCTGGCTTAAGGAGTACGTTTGTCCTCCATTGTCTTCCTCAGACTTTCTTAGATTGGAAAATCAGAAAGCTTTAATTTCTTTCTCTCTGTTCTCCGCAGACATGGATCAGATTGTTAAATGCTCCCACGAGCGCTCCATCCACCTGTTCATCGACTCACTGGTGAACCAGGAGCAACAAAGTTTGGCTTACCACTGCAGCTCCAAAGACACCTTCAACAAAGGCATGTGCCTTAGCTGCCGCAAGAATCGCTGCAACAAGGTGGGCTACAGCGTCAACAAAGTCCGCACACGCAGGAGCAGCAAAATGTACATGAAGACTAGAGACATGATGCCATATAAAGGTGAGGAGCACCAAAGATTACGTTTTTAAGGTTTATTTATGCATATATCCTTTCTTAATATAACTATCTTCCCACAGTTTTCCATTATCAAGTGAAGATCCACTTCTTTAGCAAGAAGAAAATAAGCTACAACGACCAGCCCATGAAGATCTCTTTGTTCGGAGTCCACGGCGAGAAGGAGAATATCCCTTACATCATGTAAGTAGATGTCTGGACAGGTTTTGAATTAACAACCAAAAGCCTAAAACATGCAATGTTAAGAAGTTTATAAAGATCCCGAGATTTTTCATTTCAGGGATTATGACCTTAAAGGAGTAGGTCACTTTTAAAGAAACTTTTGCTGATAATTTACTCACCCCCATGTCATCCAAGATGTCCACGTCTTTCTTTCTTCAGTCGAAAAGAAATTAAGGTTTTTGATGAAAACACTCCAGATTTTTCTCCATATAATGGACTTCATTGGGAACCAAACGGTTCAAGGTCCAAATGAGAGTTTCAGTGCAGACTGCAAACTGTTCAAAGGGCTTTAAACGATTCCAGACGATGAATAAGGGTCTTATCTAGCGAAAAGATCGCTAATTTAAAATAATAAATAAAACAATTTAAGTTTTATAAGCACAAATGCTCGCCTTGCTCTGTTCTGTGATGAGCATTCGTGACTCTCCTGTTTCGAGTCATGACTCGAAGGGTCCTAGATAAGACCCTTATTCATCGTCTGGTGCCGTTTAAAGCCGTTTGAAGCTGCACTGAAACTCTCATTTGGACCTTGAACTGTTTGGTTCCCAATAAAGTCTATTATATGGAGAAAATCCTGGAATGTTTTCATCAAAAACCTTCATTTCTTTTCGAATGAAGAAAGAAAGACGTGGGCATCTTGGATGACATGGGGGTGAGTAAATTATCAGCAAAAGTTTTTTTAAAAGTGAACTCCTTTAAGTACCAAGAAAACAGGTCACGGCTGGACTCTGATATAGATGGTTTTTGATTCCACAGGCCTGCTTTGGAGACAAACACCACAGTGTCCTTTCTTTTGACCACGGATACAGATATCGGAGAGCTGCTGATGGTTAAACTTCTCTGGGAGAAAGACTCCCTCATCAGCTGGCCCTGGTGGAACCCTGATATCTTTCACATTCGCAAACTACGCATCAAATCAGGAGAGACTCAATCTAAGTAAGCAGAGAGAATACATTTTTTTTATATGTATTATTATTAGGGCTGTCAGACGATTAATCGCGATTAATCGCATCCAAATTAAAAGTTTGTGTTTACATAATATGTGTGGGTGCACTGTGTATAATTATATATATATAAATATATATATATATATACACACACACACACACACATCCATGTATATTTAAGAAAAAAATATTATTTAAATATAATAAATATATATATATAATATAAATCTATACATACATACATACATATTTCTTAATATATATACAAGCATGTGTGTATTATATATATATAAAATGATTATACACAGTGCACCCACATATATTATGTAAACGCAAACTTTTATTTTGGATGCGATTAATCGCGATTAATCGGTTGACAGCCCTAATTATTATATATCTTTTAGCTTTAAACAATCCTGTTTTTTAACAATACTATTTTGTCTTTTTTAATCCAGGGTCATCTTCAGTGCACAAAAGAGTGAATTTTCCTACCTTTCTCGTGGAGGTGAGCCTGCAGTCTTCGTGAAAGACAAAGAAGCCCAGTCAAGCCGCAAAAACCAGAGGTAAATTTCTAACCGTCGTCCAGCTCAATAAAATGACCTTCCCCGTTCAGTTGTTATGTTCTTGTTCTATTTGTTGTGGCGAGTTTTGTTTGACTAAACCCTCTGCACTTTACTCTGGCAGATTGCACAAGTTGAAGATGCACGGAAGTTTGTTCAAACAGGACACAGAGTAAAGAAGCACGTCCAAGTCCACCTCTGCTGGGATCTGGCACGGAGTCTGCTGGGGAAACTGGAATGGTAGAAACGGACTTCTCCCGTATATATTTGGACTAGTAGCCTTCACCCGACCCAAATCATGAAACACATCCTGCAAGAAAACACATCTTGAAAATGTTACTGCTGTGCAGTTTTAAAACCAAAAAAATCACTTTGGATACTGCTCAAGACAAGTCTTGTGAGACAATCTTTAATGAAATCATTTAGTGATAATCATGTCTCTATGTGATATATTTATACAAGTAATCAGTTATAGTTTGAAATGACTTGCACTTAGTTAACAGGGTTTGCTAGTTGTCCACAAAACTTTTGAAAAAAGAAAAGACTCTTTTGTGACAAAAGAGCCTTTTCTTTCTGGAGAAAGATGCCATTCGAAACATGTTGCTGTTCGTTTGGTTTATAAGTATTACTCTTGAAATTCCACTTAGAGACTAAACATCTAGGTTATGTAGCCGTTTGTTTGGTTATACTGTGAATTAGGTTGTACCAAAGCGGTTTTCTAGCTTTGCTAATCCTCTTTGCCTCAGTTCTAAAAGCAAAACCTTTAGATTTGCCTTTGTTGCAGCCTTCAGTCAGTCTCAATGAAATGCTTTAGCATAAAATGGGTCCAAATCCTACTGAGTGAAGATGAAATGATTACTGGAAATATTTGTAATTGTCATTATATATACACTTACAAACAGCTCTTCAAATGTCTACCTTTCTTTCATTTCTTGGGTTATTGTGTCTGGCACAGGTCACTTTAAAGGCTTTGCCTCCATTTGATTCAGTTTCGTTTGGTAAAACAAACCAAATCAACAAACAATTCTGCCATTTTATGTTGCTTCTCAAAACACCTCAAGGGTTGTTTTGTCTGGATTTTGTAAAAAGTAACGAGAAACTACTTTCGTTCACACAGCCACGGAGCAAAAAAAAACAGTTTTTTCTCAAGCCTTACAGGGTTGACTGCCCCACAATAGCTACAAATACATCAACAATGTACCTTTTTCCTATTTATTGAATGTATATATTTGTATATTAAGCACCTAATATATGTATTCCATGTTTCTGAAGTGCTCTTTTCTTTTGAGTCATGTAGACTCTCTATTTTTATAAACAAACATTGAGTGAATGAAGTTACTGGAAGTGATCGGTATTTGGTCGCCTGTTGTGATCATATGAATCTATAAGCCGTGCACTGTATGATGTCATTTTAATAAACATTATGTTACGCTATGTGAGCACTTAGGTCAATATTTTTTCATTTAAAACGTCACCGTCTTTATTTTATGTGCAAATGCCATGTCTGTATTAAAAGGTTAGTTCACCCAAAAATGAAAATTCTGTCATTAATTACTCGCCCTCATGTCGATCCAAACCAAGACTTTTGTTCAGTTTCGGAACATAAATTAAGCTTTTTTTAATGAAATCTGAGAGCTTTCTGTCTGTCATTGACAGCCTACGCAACTACCAATTTTATGTCCCAGAAAGGTAGTAAAGCCATCTGACTCCAGTGGCTTAACCTTAATTTTAAAAATTGCTGATGCGAGATCGTAAATGCACGTCAGAGATTAATATTTTGTAATAAAACGTATTTTTTTCACAAACCAAGCACTCGCATCGATTCATAAAATTAAAGATTACTTTAATGAAGTCTTTACAACCTTTTTGCGGCTTGAAAGAGGAAGTTGCGGAGCTCTCATTGGAGGGACTGAAAGCTCTCAGATTTCATCTAAACGATCTTCATATGTGTTTTGAAAACGAACTAAAGTCTTATGGGTTTGGAACGACTGGGAGTAATTAATGACAGAATTTTCATTTTTGGGTGAAATATCCCTTTAAATTGCGCTGAAATGCTTTACAGTTTTTTATTCACTTTGGTATTATTTTCACAAGCAAAGTGTGCATTTTCAAAACTCTAATATCACAGATCATCAAAAGTGCACTTTTTTCAAAGATTTCAGCATGTTTTCGACAGTTTGTACGATACACAAAATCACAAAGTATCCTTTTCACAATACAAAATAAGTGTTTCATCTATATAAATGTTTCATTCACAGTAACTGCTTTTCATAAAGCTCTTACTACCAAACTTTTTCAGTTTAATACATTTGTCTATTATTTAATCCAACTGAACTTAATGTGTACCGAATGATTGAGAGTTAAATAGATATAGACAGTTTCTATTGAACTTTTTTCCAATTTCCGATATGGATAACGAAATGAAGATTATTAAAAGTACTAAACTGAAAGAAGATTAGACTATACTGTTGTGTTTCTGTGATTAAACCTGATGTTCTCATTACATATTACAATAATCATGTGTTTGAAAGAATGACAAGCTGTGTTACAAGTGTGATCAGTTTGTAGTGTACTAAGAGTTTTGTAAATGTACACTTTACTTGTGAAAATATAAAAAAAAACGGTAATAGTAACACTAAATCTCATTTCAAAAGAGTGTTTTGGATATTTCATGTCTCAAACAAATTAAAACGATTCTGAAATTGGCTGTTCATTTCACAGCATCAACAGAAATCTGGGAAAGTTTGACTTTTTGCCAAGGCCTCAATCTCTATAGAAGATGTTGTTTAAATCTATAAATTCTACATTAGTGTTTTGTTTACTATCTCCATGTTAAGTAAATGGAGCGTGATCCATTCAAATAACACCATGTGTGTGTAAAACACTCAAATAGCTCACATTGTGTAGTGAGAGAGCGACTCACCTCGAATCAAATCACAAGGAGCTTGTTTTTCAAGACACCCACCCCTTTTCACGGAATGGAGTTCTTGGAATGAAAATACAGCATTCAGATTCTTTCATTAGTCAGAACCTTCTGCAAGGAGACTGTTGAGAAATTGAATTTTTGGCAACATATCATGCATATAGGGATAAAAAAAATTAGATATGGAGATTTAAATTGATATTGGCTTATCACACTCGAATTCTTCTGAGAAATCACATACGACCTCCTCTGAGTCTTATGGTGGACAATGATCTCTAGAAGAAGCGTTTCCATCTGCTAAAGAGCATGTGACAGGTCATTAGTTATGGTTTTGTTCTTGGATGATAGGGGCAAACATAGCCTGGTCCTTGTTACGTTATTACAGTACAAACGGAAGGAATGACCAAAGCACAGTTGTCATTGAGAGTTTTGGCTGCGTCCAAGTTTTATGTATGACTATGACACAATGCGTTCAAAGAGCATTTAGGGTACTGGCATATAATGTTTCATCAATCTTTATTGTCTCGAATGACAAGGAAAGAGAAGTGCCACATGTTAGTTTTAAGTAGTCTATAACCTGTCTGACCCATGTAGTTTTTAAACTTATAGCCTATACAAACTACTGTATTACTTTCCTGCTAATAGATGGTTGTTTGAGATATATATATATATATATATATATATATATATATATATATATATATATATATATAGATAGATAGATAGATAGATAGATAGATAGATAGATAGATAGATAGATAGATAGATAGATAGATAGATAGATAGATAGTCCAAGGTGACAACAGTTTTATTAAAGAAAACCCGTGACGTGAGACATCAACAGCTCCTCACTAACAACAAATGTGTGACCGTACCCCGCCTGTGGGCTGAAACAAATTGTGCTCTAGCTTAGTTAGTAAAGCTATTTAGGAGCTTAACTGAAGTCTGAGGATCGGATTTCATTAGTCAGGATTTCGAACAGCACCAGGACACTTGATTTTTTTTTTTCTCCGTATATCGCATAGCAGCCTGCGCGCGCGATAGGAATTGATAAAGGTCACACAAGTGCACAAAGTTTAGGCAGAAAAGACATGACCATTTTCTCATTCCAGTGCGTTTCGTGGCTCGTATTACTAGGCTTCACTGCTCTGTTCGTCGCTGCTCTGGAGGAAGAAAACTTCTCCAACGGAGTCTTTGGTAAGATATTTGTTGATGCTGCTCCGTGAGAAAGGCATTCGGATAACCTGAGGGGTTATTTTATTTGGACGCGGTGCGATTCTCGTTTTTAACGTCTTTGTTTTCAAATCCTACCTCTAATCCTGTGTTTTCATTGGATATTTTTAATTTCCGGCATCTGTCTGAGGTTTTAAATATATGAATTAGCATGTAGAAGACGCTAGTCCATTTACTTGACATTTCTTTGAGTCGACCAGATGATGTTTTATGCTGTTGTATGCAAGGGTTTCTTGAAAGTAGGCTATGTTTCAAGTTCATTATCACTAAAGGTTATCTTTACATTGCAAACTGATATCGCATCGATTGAAGAAGGTGTGACAATGGTGTAGTATACAGTAGTAAAGATATTTTGGCTCTATGGAAGATATGTCAACTATGGAAATATTTATTGTAAGTTAGCTACTTTTGTAATGACATCGCCATGACTTATTCAAATTCAAAAATGTATATAATTACATTTTGAAGTATAATTTGTTTTTATTTTTATATATTTAATATTAAATTATATTATGAAATATTTTGCATTTTATACTTAGCACATATATCGATTTTTTAACGTACTTTTTAAAATTATAAATAAACAACTTTTTTATTTTAATTGTACCTTTTTAATATTTCACTATTTTGATGTAGCCCTATTTCTTGAAATGTTTATTTGACTATTTATTTTTTAAATTGCTATTACATAGGTAATTTCCTGGAGGATCTAAGGGACCTGTCAGATGTCAACAAAGCCAATGTCAAGTTTTCTCTGAGAAACCCGTCCCAACCTGATGATGATGTGTGTTACATTGTACGTGGCAAACCAGAGACCCTCAACATCTGTGACTTCAACAACACTTCGAAAACCTTTCTAGTCATTCACGGGTGGACGGTACCTCAACGCTTTTACATAGGCCTACATTTAATGAATTTATCAATTGATTCTGATTCTTTTTCAACTCATCCAACATTAAGTTAGTGTTAATTTAGCTCTTTTCCTTTAGGTAAGTGGATTATTCGAGAGCTGGGTTGAGAAACTGGTTGCTGCCCTTTATGACAGGGAGAAAAACGCTAATGTCATTGTCGTGGACTGGTTGGACATGGCACAGAACCATTATACGGTGGCAGCACAAAACACAAAGATGGTGGGACAAGAGATCGGACTCTTCATAGAGTGGCTGGAGGTTTGTGTCAGCAAATCAAATCAGGCAAACAATCATTCTCATGCAAGTTGCAGTGCTAATTTGTATTATTGTGCTCATACTTGATTCATAAGGAGACTATCAACGTTCCTCTGGAGAAGTTGCACCTCATTGGCTACAGTCTTGGTGCCCACGTTGCTGGTTTTGCAGGAAGTCATGCAACGAACAAAGTTGGAAGAATCACAGGTAGGTTCACTGACTTTCTGTTGGAAATAAATCTCACAATATGTGAAATGCACCATATATGGACAACAATTTGGTGTTTTTGCAGGTCTTGACCCTGCTGGGCCGGACTTTGAAGGGGTCCATGCCCACAGACGGCTGTCCCCAGATGATGCCCATTTTGTAGATGTCCTCCACACATTCACCCGAGGATCCCTGGGTCTCAGTATCGGTATCGAGCAGCCGGTCGGCCATGTAGATATATACCCCAATGGAGGAAGCTTCCAGCCTGGCTGCAATCTGAGAGGAGCTCTGGAGAAAATTGCCAGTTATGGAATACTTGGTAAATACCTTGATCTGGGATATCTAAATATAATGATTACATTTACCTAAATATTTCACCAAAAGTGATTGAAAAATATAGGAAGAGTAAGCATAGCATACATGCACTTGGGGCCATTGGTTCTTGAATTGTTGAAAAGTTGATTGTAGCATTGTTGCAATTTGACATGGAAAAATATATGTATTTAAAAATTAAATATTAGGGTTGTCAAACGATTAATCGCATCCAAAATAAACGTTTGTGTTTACATAATATATGTGGGTGCACGGTGTATAATTATTTATATATATATATATATATATATAAAAATACACATGCATGTATATTTAAGAAAAAATATGATTTATATATAAAATATTTACATTTATATATAATATAGATTATATTTAAATCTATATACAGTATAAATATATACAAGCATGTGTGTGCATTTATATATAGAAAATAATTATACACCGTGCACCCACATATATTATGTAAACACAAACTTTTATTTTGGATGCAATTAATTGCGATGAATCGTTTTACAGCCCTATTAAATATTAAAAATTATATGGTAGTTATATTTCTACATAAAAATACTTAAAAACATTAAAAACAATTTAAGTATAATTTTATTGAAAATAATTGATCTTTTCTTATTTCTAATTAATAATTAATGCTGGCCATAAATCCTAATTATTTAGTAAAATAGTCACACACAAATAATGTAAAAGACTACAATTTAATATAAATTATATAAAAATATAAATGGATATATTTATAAACAATACGATTTTGAATAACCTGTAACAATAAATGCTGATTTATCGCAGTAATTCCTTTCAAGAAATGACTGCTATTTGTAACTTTCCCAAAGATGGAAAGAGATTAGTTATATATCAAAAGGTTGTGACAGCGTTTCATAATCACATTTTTTCATAATCTGGCTTTCTAATCTGTTTTCGCAACGTACAACAAACCTTTGCTACAACTGATGCAACCTTTCGACAATGGAATCTCTGCTAAGAGCCAAGATATTTACTTGTGTGACTGTAAAGTTCAAAATCATATCAGTTTCATTAATACCCTTAGCAATGAATAATGCCATCAGATGCGAGCACGAGAGGTCCATCCACCTGTACATCGACTCCCTGCTGAATGAGGAAGAAGCTAGCAGGGCGTACAGCTGCGGGAGCAATGACATGTTCGACCGCGGCATGTGCCTCCAATGTCGCAAGAACCGCTGCAACACTGTGGGCTACAAAGTCGGCAAATTCCGCAGGGCACGAAGCGTTAAGATGTTCACCAGGACACGAGGCTCCATGCCATTCAGAGGTCAGTGTCAAGATTTTCTAGTTTCCTGTTTTCTATCTTAATTTTAAAGTTTTTTTTCCCTGTCTCTATAGTTTTTTACTTAATTTTAGTTATTTTAGCTCTTCAACTTAAACTAAGGGAAAATAAGAAATGTTGCGATGGCAACTAGCTGAAATTTTATATTTTATTTTAGTAAATGTTTTATTTAAAGTAATGAATATTTTTAATGGTTTTAGTTTTAGTTTAAGTGCCCCAATTGTGCTTTTTCTGATATTACCTTTCATATAGAGTGTAATACAGTCATTTGTGAAAGTAAAAGGTCTGCAAAAAACGTTTTGAAAAATCTAAGTGCACAAAAGAAAGACCGATTCTGAACTGGTACGTTCACACACACCGGATGCGAATATCTAGTAGCTAATACCATGCAGGGTTCTGAGTGAATGTCGGAGGATCTCAAGACTGTTAGACGAAAATCCACAGACAAGAAGCGTGATGACAGGTTAAATAAAAGACTTTTACTATAGTCCTTATAGCTATCGCTAAAGTTATCTTTATAGTCATTGTTATAGTTTTATTTCTATCAATAATATAGTTATCGTTATGGTCATCGTCATAGTGGTATAGCTATCAAAATCTTTATCGCTAAAGTTAATCGTTATAGTCATCGCCATAGTGTTATTGCTATCAATATAGCTATCAATATAGTTATCGTTATAGTCATCGTCATAGTGTTATAGCTATTAATATAGTTATCGTCATAGTCATCGCTAGTGTTATAGCTGTCAATATAGTTATCGTTATAGTCATCGTCATAGTGTTATAGCTATTAATATAGTTATCGTTATAGTCATCGCCATAGTGTTATAGCTGTCAATATAGTTATCGTTATAGTCATCGTCATAGTGTTATAGCTATTAATATAGTTATCGTCATAGTCATCGCTATAGTGTTATAGCTGTCAATATAGTTATCGTTATAGTCATCGTCATAGTGTTATAGCTATTAATATAGTTATCGTCATAGTCATCGCTAGTGTTATAGCTGTCAATATAGTTATCGTTATATTAATCGTCATAGTGTTATAGCTATTAATATAGTTATCGTTATAGTCATCGCCATAGTGTTATAGCTGTCAATATAGTTATCGTTATAGTCATCGCCATAGTGTTATAGCTATCAATATGTTTATCGCTAAAGTTATCGTTATAGTCATCGTCACGGTGTTATAGCTATCAATATAGTTATCAACTTCGTCATAGTTTTATAGCTGTCAATATAGTTAAAACTGACGTGCGTAAAATCAAAAGTTTGAAGCGAAATTTACGCGCGTCAAAATCGAAACCCGTTGGCGGCCATCTTTTTTTATGTTGATCGAGCATTCATCGAGAGAGTCACCGTTCTGTATTTGCAATTCATACTTACAAGTCACACAGGGCGCAGCCATTTTGAATTCCGAAACGAAATTCTTGCTCGGTGTCCTCACGGTTGTCCCACGTCTGAGAGGAGAAATACGAGGAAAGGGGGCATGTTGCCATCCTTTATCGAACTGTTTTAGACAGTGTGAGAAAAGAGGTGATGCTTCAATGTATATTGACAAATGATTTTTGACCTTGGATGCATGAACTGACCTACATGTAAACCTATTGTAGGAATCCTCCTAGACAAAAAAGAACCTATTAGGGGCACTTAAATTAAAAATAATAACCCTGGTTGTGGGTGCTACAACATTTGGTCATTGTTTATTTCATAGTTTTTCACTATCAGCTGAAAGTCAACTTCCTTGGAAAAATAAATCAATTGGAGATGGAACCAGTCCTGACTGTCTCACTTTACGGTACCAATGGTGAAGCAGAAGATCTCAAGTTAAACGTGTGAGTAATCAATACTCATATCTTCTAAAGATGGCTATATTGTGTTCACACCAGTCAAATGTCAATGCTAACTATCTTTGAATTATTTCAACAAGCAGACAGGAGAGAATTACCACCAATAAGTCTCATTCATTCCTCGTTATAACCGAGAAGGACATTGGAGATCTTCTGATGCTGAAATTTAAATGGAAGGAGTCCACCTCCTCTTTACTCACTCTGCTCTCCTCATGGTGGTATGGGGATTCCACAAATTTTGACGTACAGATCCATAAAGTCCGAGTCAGAGCTGGGGAGACACAAAAAAAGTATGTTCCTACCATATAATGAACCTTCAGACACTTAAAATTCACATTTCTGAGCCTCTTTTGCTCAATGAATTGGTCTCAAAGAAGTCAGTTTTCCTTGAGAGGTGTGTACAGGTGTAATTCATCTCATAAACTATGAACCACTAACATCTCGCAACCAGAAAACGTCACAATATGTCTTTGAACGTATTTACTAATATAATTTCAAACCTAACGAAATTCAATTTTGCGAAAGGCTTTGGTTGAAAAGTTTGCTTTCTTTACATTAAATGCCACATGATGTGCAGTGATATTCACATATTTTAACAGCTCTCATTCTTTCATTTTCTTTAGAATTGTGTTGTGTTTAAAAGATCACCAAACTGGAAGTTCAGTTCAAGAAGTTGTATTTGTGAAATGCAGGGAACCATGGAGGTCTTTATCTAAAAGGTGATAATAGCGTAGGCAACCATAATTAATATACTCACATTTAATCTAAAATAATTCTAACAACTGCCATTTTCTTTGTTCCAACACAGGCCTAAATTGAAGAGCCAATGAAATGATTTGCAAGAGATTTTGATGAAGCACTTCAACAAATGTATTTAGATGTTATTTATTAAGCCTGCAACTGCACTGTATTGAATAATGTATTGCTATGAATGTGATTCATGCAAATGGATTGTGGACTTTTGTACTATCATATGGAATAGGCTTAAAAAGTCTAGAAATGTGATTGATTTCATTAAATAGCAGTGGATTTATATTTGAATGACTATTTGAATATATCTTTATGTCATTCTGATTCTTCTGGCCACAATCACTATCCAAGAATACATTGCATTACATTACTTATCTATTTGTACTGTATTCAAAATTAAGTGTTTTGTTATAAATTACACTCTATAAGTTTCATGTTGAAGCGGAGGACACATTTACGGTTTTTCAGCGAGTTTTCAAGGACGAAATCCAGCAATTTTAGTAGGAATCCACGTGACTGGGAATGTCGCGTGGAGGTGAAATATTTCCACACATATTTCATTCAAGTTGGTCACGTGAATTCACCCCCTTAAAGGGTTAGTTCACCCAAAAATTTAAATTATGTCATTAATGACTCCAAGACCTCCGTTCATCTTCAGAACACAGTTTAAGTTATTTTAGATTTAGTCCGAGAGTTTTCCTCCATTGAAAATGTATGTACGGTATACTGACCTTGTCCAGAAAGGAAATAAAGACATCAAAGTAGTCCATGTGACATCAGTGGGTTAGTTAGAATTTTTTGAAGCATCGGAAATACATTTTGGTCCAAAAATAACAAAAACTACGACTTTATTCTGCATTGTATTGTCTTCCAGTTCTGTTGTCAATCCGCCTCAGTGACGCTGATGACGTAATATGGCCCATCCATATTTATTTGAACCCGAATACATGGACGCACACCAGATCCACGTCAGCAGCGTCACTGCGGAATCGTGAACGTGGATTGACAACAGAACTGGAAGACAATACAATGCTGAATAAAGTCGTAGTTTTTGTTATTTTTGGACCAAAATGTATTTTCGATGTTAGTGAGGAAAATTTAAACGTGCATTAATACCATCACTTGAAATATTGAATGTTTAGTATGTTGTTTGAGCAAAAGAAACAATTATATCCAGAAGGCACCTTATAAAGTCAAAATCAAACGAATGTAGTAAGTTAATGTAAAAAATCATAATGAAATGAAAACAAATGAAGCATCTACTGTGTGTTGAATGCATTTTATTATTGGTAAAAGTTAAATTATTCCTCTTTTGCACTTTATATAGGTAATCGACATTTATAAATAGGAAAAAATATTCCAAAAAAGGCCTACTGCAACTGACATTGAATCAGTCTAATACATCATACAAACTGCTACAACATTTTATACTTTTTTTATGAAAAATAATGTGAACTATATCAATGAAATGAACTGTACTGTAAATGTGTCAAAATATTAAAAAATATATATCTTTGAGCTAAATGTATGTCTTTTTAAATGTTTTATAATCACTTAAAAAATTTAATTTCAATTTAATTTCCTATTAAATAGTTTTTGAACTATTTTACCCCATACAACCTTAAAAGTCACTTAGTTCTCTGTGCTTATCATGTTAACCACCCCAAGGACAACACGAAGAGATAAAATCGTGAACGTAAATCCAGCAACTCAAACAAACTGGTGTCACGATATCACTCAACAAAGCCAAGAGTTTGTAAAACACTACATTTTGACTTTGCGTATTTGGTTGAACCTGTGATTTCACAGAAGAACCAATATCGCAGAGACAAAAAGACAATGTCATGTTTTACAATTTCTCTGAAATAAATGTAGGCGACATTGTGTATAAAGTTAATGAGAGCAATGATTTATAGTTGGAAAGCTGGAGAATATTCAATGCTCAAATCAGCACTGGAGTTCAAATAACTTTCTAAAGACCAATGGTGTGTGACACATGGGCGAATCATGTTTGGACAGATGTGCATGACTCTCAGCTGTGCGGCTGGCCAGCCTTCAATGATCAGTCAGATGTTTTGAACATTCAAGTTACCTCAAAAGCAATGTTTTCTTGCTTGGTGGGGTTTCTTGCCATTTGGAAGGCCCCAGATGGAGAGATGTTTACCTGTCATCATCAATCTCAAGGGGCTGTCCAAAAACACAGATAATCCCAGCCATTACTGCTGAAATAGCGAGAATAGCCAGAAGAATTGCCCACCAATGTGCCTACAAAAGAGAGGAGAGAAGTCTCAAATTATATAAAGAAAACGGAGTTAAGGTAAATGAAGGAAATATAAAAAAACAGCCAATGGAAGATGCTAGCATGTTACATTAGACTGTTTCAAATGCGAAAAACAAACCTTCATCCAACCGGCTAGGTCATCGAACTCATCCAATTTGAGGAAAGAATTTTTGAGCCTTGCAATTGGGCCGTCCGCATCTAGGATTCGGCAGACTTTAAACCTGTCGCAGTACCCTCTGTTTCCAGAGCAGGGTGATCCAGGAACCAAAGCGACACGTTTCCCGCTAAAGTAGTGCAAAAGAACCGAAGAAGTGGTGCTTGCGCAGGTATTGGGTTTATCTACAGAGAAAAAAAAAAATGCCAAGCAAGCAAAAAATTGGATAAAAGAACATATGTGCTTAATTTACGTTTTTATAAAGCAATAATGTTAGCACAAACAGCTGTTTATGCATCTAATTTATTTGGAGCAGTAAACACGTTCTGAAGAGGCGGAACGTTGTGGTTACCTCTCTGCTGGCAGCACATGTGGCACTTCTCCATCTTGTTCTCTCCCGGACAGTCACATTGCACCATGTCGTACAATGCGCAGAGAGACAGGCCACATTCCTGCGACATCAAGCCACAAGACATTGGTTATAGAGAACCTCACATTGTATAATAGGGTAATACACAAAAATATATATCCAATTTGTAACACTATGCTCATTAAGCCTAAACAACTCCATGTGTTTAGCTCAAAACCACAGAATCTTTTGGATTTCTTTTGTCTTTTCATTCCCTAATCCCTACGCAACCTTCTTCATGCAAACAGATATTACTTATGACAATATGATGTTTTTATGACTTCGGACTAAGAAAAGGCGTATTTTGTATTGCATATTGCAAGGCTATGCTCTGACATTTGTGGAATATCTCAAATACATTGTTTTTGTATTCTGAATAGTTAAAAAAAAATGTTAACAAACGGAATCCAATTTACATCTATATATAGTTTGAAACTGGATTCAAATCTGGATGCATTTCAGTCTGAAAGGTCTAACCAGATATCAATGTAAATATGCAGATTGGACTGTATATGTACTACACTAAATTGAAACAGACAAGATTTTATCACTTTCAAATTGTGGAAAAGTTTGAAAGATTGAATTCAAATCAGACTGAATCCAAATCGGATTCTAAAAAGATATACAAAAATCCATATTGGACGTACCCTGTTGAAACAGACACGTGTGTCATCACTGCATTTTGTCATGTCGGGCTTGGCGGCAGGTTCTGGACATTTAGCAGAGGAACCGGAGCATACACTTTGGTTGCGGCACTCAGAGTGTCGTTCACACATCACCCCAGCTTCCTTGAAGACACAATGGGAGCTGCAGCACAGACCCTGGCTAGGACTGAGATAGAAAGATCAACTTCAAGAAAGGTAGGTTTTGTGGACCTAAAAAACTAGTGCCTGAAGTTCAGGCATTCTTAGAGCCTGTCCCAAATGGTGCTGTTGATGTAGCCTTCCCATGTAGTCCACAAGACCCTTAGGAAGGGATGTTTGTCCAACCAAGCTGTGGGATGGAAACCTTCCTGAAGTGTTTAGCGCCAACACTCTATAAATCACGAAAATCAGTAATTTGAGCAAGACCTTTGTTAGGTGGTGGTGAAAAACGTATGTTTAACTAGGGTTGAAGCTAAACCTGTCAAGAAGGTAGTCCTCTTAACACATGATGGCAGGGATGTCCAACTTAGTTTCTGGAGGCAAACCTTTCTGCAGAGTTTACTCCAACTTGTCTGTTTGAAAATTTTAAATAATCTTGACCTTGATTAGCTACTTCAGCCGTCAAAATGAGATTGGAGCTAAAATTTCGTAAAAAAGGTGGTAACTCCAGGAGCAGGACTGGACACTCCTGGTGTAAGGTCTCCCATTTGTAATTTTATCTAAAATGGATTTTACTATCCCCCCCAGCACTTACATTCATCATTAATCCATCGTTTTAGAAAGCTCCCTCTCTTGAGGTCTTAACAGTGGTCTGCTATCTAACAGTTGATGTGACTTTACACCACCAAGGATGGGGTTGACAGCACTATTTGGGACCTTAGAGTAAAGTTTAATTTGCCCAAAAAATCCAAAAGCCTGGTTAAAACCAGACCATTCTCAGTTGTAACTGAGATATGGTCTGGCAAAGCATCATAGACAAATCATTTCCAGAGGGGCGTCACCAATGGACGTCGAGGGTAGAACTAAAACCAATCAGAGTGATGAAGGAGACGACGTATGCAGAGCGGCGTCCGGCGGAGAAACATCCCCTAGTGTTGTTCTTTGCTCGGTTTTTAACAAAAAGGAAACGTTCAAATCGCTTAAAAACAGACGCGAGAGCTGATTCGAGCGAGTGATGTTCGACGGCGGCGTCCATCTTTGTAATGTATGCAACAAAATCTGCTTCAAAATCTCAGCGCTGTCGTCATCGTGTAAAGCCCGCCCCAACGTTTCTGATTGGTGCCGCGATTTCTGCGGACTGGAAATGGATTTGAATGAGCTCTTTGCCAGACTAACTTTCAGAGCAAATCTAAATTTGCCGGAAGTTGTCTGGGTTTTCCCAGGCTACAAAAGTCATCCTCTTGACACAAAACGGACTGATGCAAACCTGCATTGTTTTTCGGGCTTCAGTCGACATTCAACACCTGAAGGTTCCTTCGAGCTGTAGCAGCATGGATCGCTTTCGTTGTGGCCCACATCGCACTCTTCATTCTCTTCTACGATGCGGTTCCCACAAATGGGCTGTTCACTATCTGACGAGGCAAAACAGGTACATCTCCAGTCAGTTACTTCAAGCCAAGGAGCCATGGAGATCAGCCCCATTGAAGGAATGATTTAGGACTGAGACAAGCTAACAATCATTAGCATACCTATCCCATCCAAGAATTTAGATAGGGGTCATACCTACAAAGCATCTGTCCTTCTTGATTTTCAGAATGCGACTTGTGTGCCGCAGGCTGCAAGGGGAGAACTTGTCGTTGTTCTCCTCGATCTTGGAGGTGGCTTGAGGGAACATCA